TTTGGGCTGGTCCAACATGTCTTCTCTCGACCTCATCGATCACTCCCCGCAGCAGCCGGATCCCTCACCACCGGTCCCCACCGCCTCCAATCTCATCTTCATTGACAACTACGACTCATTCACTTGGAACATTTACCAGTACCTGGTTCTCGAGGGCGCCACTGTCCATGTCTTCCGCAATGACCAGATCACTCTCGACGAGCTGATCGCCAAGAACCCTACACAGCTCATCATCAGCCCTGGCCCTGGCCATCCTGCTACTGATTCTGGTATCAGCCGCGCTGCTATCCAGCACTTTGCTGGCAAGATTCCCATTTTTGGCGTGTGTATGGGATTGTAAGTCATAAAATGGGTTTCGTATACTCATTCAACCATGGGTTCCTATTGTTCAGTCGGCCATTTTACTCATGTTTTCTGTTTGCAGGCAATGCATCATCGATAGCTACGGTGGTGAGGTAGCTTCAGCAGGGGAATGGCTCCATGGGAAAACCTCCCCCTTAACGCATGATGGCAAGGGGGTCTTCAAGGGCTTGAAGCAGAATATCCCAGTCACACGATATCACTCTCTTGCCGGTACACCTGTTACATTGCCCGAGTGTCTTGAGATCACCTCCTGGGTGACCAAGCTGGATGGCTCACAGGGTGTCATCCAAGGTGTCCGGCACAATGAGTTTACCATGGAGGGAGTTCAATTCCACCCCGAGAGTATTCTAACAGCAGAAGGGCGGACGATGATCAGGAACTTCCTCAAGTTGCAAGGCGGTACCTGGGCAGAGAACGGTGAGATGGTGAACGACGCGGCAAGCTTGTCCGCAGTCACTACAGGGCAAAGCAAGAGCAACAACATACTCCGTCAGATCTACGACAACCGCAGAGCTGCCGTCGAGATTCAGAAGCAGATTCCTTCTCAGCGCATGGCTGATCTGGAGGCCGCATACAGTCTCAACGCCGCACCACCACTGGTTCCATTTATCAACCGCCTACGTCAGTCGCCGTTCGATGTCTCCCTTATGGCCGAAATCAAGCGAGGCTCGCCTTCCAAGGGAATCTTTGCACTTGAAATCAATGCCCCTGTCCAGGCCCGCAAATATGCTCTTGCTGGAGCGAGTGTCATCTCTGTGCTCACAGAACCAGAGTGGTTCAAGGGGAGCATCGAGGATCTCCGGGCTGTTCGCCAGGTTTTGGATGGTATGCCTAATCGACCAGCCATTTTGAGAAAGGAATTCATCTTCGACGAATATCAGATTCTGGAGGCCCGACTTGCGGGCGCCGACACCGTTCTCCTCATTGTGAAAATGTTGGACAACGAACTTCTTGAGCGGTTATACAAGTACTCACAGTCCCTGGGAATGGAGCCTCTTGTAGAAGTACAGAACGCCGAAGAGATGGAGAGAGCTCTCAAGCTGGGTTCCAAGGCCATCGGCGTCAACAACCGCAACCTGGAGAGTTTCGAGGTCGACATGAACACAACAAGCCGTCTGCGAAAGATGGTTCCCGAGGACACCATTATCTGTGCTCTCAGCGGTATCAACAAGCACCAGGACGTGCTGGATTGCAAGAGGGACGGCATCAACGCCGTGCTCGTTGGAGAATCGATCATGAGGGCGCCCGATGCCAGCCAGTTCATCAGCCAGCTATGTGCTGGAGTAGACGCTCCCACCAATGCCGCCCCCCCACCACCTCTATACGTAAAGATCTGCGGCACACGAAGTCCCGAGGCAGCAAAAGAGGCTGTTAAGTCTGGTGCCGACTTTGTTGGCATCTGCTTGGTCCCTGGAGCCAAACGATGCATTACCCACGAGACTGCGTTGGCCATCTCCAATGCTGTCCACTCATACAGCTGTTCGTTGCCGGCTAAAGTTGATATCCCAATTTCCAGCACCGGAGCTACAGACTTCTTTGCCTCAGCTACCACACGACTGGTTAGCAGCCGCCCACGCGTAGTTGGTATCTTCCAGAACCAGCCCCTGAATGAGGTCCTCGAGAAGCAGGAGCTCTATGATTTGGATATGGTCCAACTTCATGGAGATGAGCCACTCGAGTGGGCACACTTGATTCCTGTTCCTGTCATCCGTGCTTTCAAGCCTGACCACGTCGGCATCGGCCTGCGCGGATACCACACCATCCCTCTCTTGGATTCTGGTGCTGGCTCCGGCAAGCTCATTGATGTGTCGAAAGTGAAGCAGGTCCTCGAGAAAGACCCCGAACTGCGCATCTTCCTCGCTGGCGGGTTGAACCCAGACAATGTCGCTGATGCTGTCAAAGCTCTAGGGGATCTCGGATCTCGTGTCATTGGTGTCGACGTCAGCAGTGGCGTCGAGGAGGCGGGAAAGCAAAGCTTGCCGAAAATCACTGGATTCATCAAGGCCGCCAAGGAGATCAGGTAATGGAAAAGATATTTTCTGTTTGCCAGGCTTGTATGATACGCCTGCTCATCAGCATCAGGAATAGACTAGGAAATATACAAGAAAAATAGGCGCCTTGCATGATCAAATACCGTTGCCCCCATGAATCTTATAAAAAGTGCTGTGTCCTGCGATTTCGCACTCAATTAATAAGAGCGGAGTGGCCACTGCCCGGCGATGGGCTGCCCTGGCTGGTCCTTTCGCTGCCTCGAGGTTGCAGCCTGGCACGACTCCCGAGTTGAGAGAGGTCACCCCTTTAACCATGGGAAGCAACTCCAACGACACTCGCCGGCTCTGAATCCCCAATTCTTTCATGATACCTTCTAAATTCGTTTCTTCTATTTAATAACAACTACTTATTATGTCTACTTACTATTTTGGGGGTTCTTTTACTGTAGCGTTATAACAACTAACAAGACGCATCTATGCCTGATTCCCTACGTTCTCCTCAACAACTCAACCACAACAAAACAGGAAGATTTCGTCTTAATACTGGGAAGCCTGGTAATAAGGGGCCACTTCTGGCCTAGACATTCGTGATGCCCCGTCAAATCTTCAAGAAATGCGTCATCGCAGTCGCAGGACCGCTCCCAGGCCAGCTCACGGTCGAGAACCTCGCGCAATGGACTCGCCTCCGCAAGGGAATCTTCAGCAGCGACTTCGACGAGTTCGTGACGCACCTCCTCTGCACGCGGGAGCAGTTCAACAAGCGAGTTCCAAGGGGTAAGCATCCATGGAAACAATTCTGGGCGGAACGAAACGACGGAGTCTTGCATGTCCTTGGGACTTTTTTACTTACGCCTAGGTCGAGTAACGCAGTTAAACAAGCTCTGAAGCGGGGGAAGCGATTCCATATAGTCCACTATGACTGGTTTGAATTCTCGGCCGTTCAGGAGAAGAAGCAGCCCGAGAAGGAGTATTCGATGAGGGTTCTGCTTGCCAAGCAAAAGGCCCGTGAGAGGGAAGAGCGAAGGATCGAAAAGGGCATAAAGGATGAAGAGAAGTTCGTCAATACGAGTAAGTCATACATTTTGACATATATTCCCATTGGTATCATATGTTCTATCCTGTTGTCTTGCGGCAATCCTAACCTATCATGTCAACGATATAGATCTGTTTCATATATACACAGACCGGGAGTTCTTTTCATATCAGATCGACATCACGAGAGATGACACTGGGTTGGGAGAGCTTGGCCAGCGTTATACCATGTGTGTAAGTCAAGCTCATCGCGTTAGATATGGCAAGAGTGTGTAACTTGATCTGACATGACATGATCTCAGCTTTGGGAATCCGATGCCAAGCCGCACCTCTACCAATTCGCAGCAAAGTTCCTCAAAAGAAAAGGAGACGGGCAGCCTACATACTACCGGCCAAGTCCCTGCGCAGGGAAATGGCGTGATGAGATGAATCACTTCATAGCATTCTTTCAGAAGAAGACGGGGGTCGACTGGGAGGATAGAGTGGTCATGCAGAAGACCACCAACACTGAATACTTTCAGTATACTCCACCGGTGTGTTTTGAGGAATGGAATACATTGAAAGAAGGTTGGGTATGAGGCTAATACTTGCTTATAGGCGGGAGGGAAGCCAGTTGGCCGCCGTCTGCGCCACTCTCACGAGTACTGCCTCCAAATCAATGCCGAACTCAGGGGACTCCCATGGCCACCAAAGGAGGAGAAATCAGAAGCCATGATGGATATGACTCAGGGAGGAGACATATTGGCGATACCGGGGGGAAGTGACGAGTGGGAGCCCGAGACCTCGGCTGAAATGAGAAACGACAGTCTCGTTGACGAGAACATGGATACGAGCGAGGATGAGACACCATCATCCACTCAAGACGCCCTAGATGATGAAAAATGTGAAGACGAGAGCACCAACGATGACCCGGACAAAGACACAGACATGGAAACAGAGATCCCGAGTCCGAGCGGACTGGAGGGTGATGAGATGAAAGAGCAACCATTGACCTCTTCCTCGGATGATTCGACCGAGGGCTCAACCTCCCAACAAGTGGGAGATGGACATACAACGCCTACTAGTCTGGCAAGCGACAATACATCCTGTTGCTCAATGGATACAGGTGCCATGGTGCCTGACGAAATTAGTGACCCAAGGTTTTATGAGGCTGTGAGACAGGCACTCAAATTCCCCGTTCCGAACTGAGGCCATCTCGAATAATATCCTCTCCAGGTATCATGAAGACGACTTTCTCCTTCTTAGCCATATTTATCTAAGGGTCAAGTGGGCATATAAAATTGGCATGTGAAATTTGACATGAGATGCAAAGTGCTGGGGTATATTAGGAAAAACCAGGTAGTCAGAAAGACAAAACGAGAAATGCGCCCATATCCCTACATCGGCAGCATCCATTTTCTTTCAATAACTAGACTGTAAATCAAACGCTGCCATGAATGCCCCCGGCGTCTAAACAAGATGTGCAACACCAATGTCGAACACCATCCCAATCCCTGAAAACGCCAAGTATCGTGAACATTTTCCCCACCACGGCCATTTCCCTCCCATCTCCCGGTTTAGGAGGAAGGGGAGATGTTACCGCTAGGTACTAACGGGGAAAGGAAGCATAGAATCCTAGAACCTCAGCTTCGGCAGCACAAACACCAGCACTAGTAACCCAACCATCAATCCATACACCCACGCAAACAGCATCATCCTCCCCCACCATCCCTTGCCCTCCGACATCTTCTGGAGCGCTCCCATCCTCCCCTTGGCGACGTCCATCCCACGCCCTGTCCGCTCCATACCCTCAGTCGCCCGGGTCAGCACATCCTTCTCCGACTCGAGACTCGCCGCAATGTTCTTCTGCTGGTTCTTCATGGCCTGCGCCATCTGGAAAACCTTGTCGGCGAGCTCCTCCCGCTCCTTGGACTGGACATCCAAGATGGCCTCCGCCGTCGCAGTGGACTTCTCGGCCTGGGCACCAGCAGCCACCGTCCGGTTACGACGGTTGGCAAACAGGGCAGCTCGAGCCGTTGCATGCGCGGGGGGGTTGTCTGGCGACTCTGGAACGACCGTCGGTTTCGCTGACGACCGCGCCCGCAGCGTCTGCTGGGTCTGGGTAGGGGTATCTTGCACGAACGGCTGAGGGGTCGGTGATGGTTGAGCTGGGGGTGCTGACGGAGTATCCGAAGATATGGAAGCTGCACTATCATCAGGCGTCGGGAAATCCTCCTGCTGGGTGTCTGTACTTTCCGACGGGGTCGGTATCAAGCCGGCCAGGGCATCGTCCACGTCGGAGCTGTCCTCTTCATCCTCCTCCACCAGCGCCAGCTTTTGCAAATCCTGCAGTCGATCCACCAGCACATCTAGAAGCTCTCTCTTCTTGTTGAGGTCTGTCTGCACCTCGGCTCTTCGGCCGGGGGCCAAGACGCCGAGCGCATCTTGTTCGAGCTTCGTGAGGGTCGCCCGCGCATATTCAAGGTTCTGGCAGCAAGCGTTAGCCCCGATGCTGAGACGCGGGCGCAAGGTGGGTACAAACCGATTTCTGCCTGGATCTCTCGTACTCGCTCGTCCGTAGCTGTCGCTCGCGGCTCGGATCGGGATGCAGTAAGACCTGCTGCAGCCGTGAAAGTAGCTGGCCGAGTTCGGCAGAGGTGCGCTCGAAGGTGCTGCCAGTCCGGCGCAGCGCCGGTGACGGTGCGTTTGAAAGCCGAGCCATATGGCAATTATTTGTAATTAGAAGCGACGTATTGTATTGGGGCTGTAGTATGGCAGTGCGGAGGGTGAGAGTGCGGAATTCGGATGTGATCTGCCAGCCTGGAATATTTAAGTAAGTGCCCCAAGCTGTCAAGCAGCCAAAGCCTGTGACGTGTGTTGTTGTGGCAGATGGCCTCTGATGGGGCCGAGTACCCCGGAGATACTTCTCAGACTGTGTGGGTGGTGTGGGAAGATTTGTACTTGGCTAGTCACTCGGAAGAGCATAAGTCAATGCTACCCCAGGACCCTGGTGCCATAACAACCACGACGAGATGGAAGAATACAGAATAATAAAGTAATCACAAAACAAAAACAAGCTAGGTGATCATGCTGCCGTAAATCAACTGCTCATACTGCCATCAACACACGCTGTTTGAGATCTCTGGCCAATTCCTCCACCTACCGCATACAGGACATATACTAGGCACGCAAGTATACAACAAATACCCTGTACGACATGAAAAGAGGCTGTTCGTTTGGCAGAAAATATTTGATTGACTGGCTGAGTTTGTCAACAAGACAACAGCTTAGTTGATTGCTCGTCGACGAAGCGAACCCCCGGCAACCAGGGCTAAACCATGCGGGCATCAAAAGGTAATGTTGGAAGTAAAGTTATCCATGAATTCACTAACGCAACTTTCTTGTTTTGGCCGTCTTCATGTCTGTCTTGAAAGCAAACCAATCAGAAGAAGGCAACTGCTTGAAAGACAGCCTGATTTTCACCGACACGTGGCATAACTAGTCCTTTAACGCTGCCAAATGAGAAAAATCCAACGCCAAGGTAGTGCATAATTCGTAAACCCCCAAAATTCAAGGCTGACAAGGGTGTTGGCCTGTGCAGGCTCAGGACTTGTCATGCGAACCATCATCGCATTTTGATTAGATGAGAGATAGCTGGCAAGCGAGGAAGCTGCGCGGCTGGTTGCTTGTCTCAAAGATGGCCGGCTTTCTGGCCACAGTTCAAGCAAGGTTTGTTGCTTCTCGCTCGTCTCTGCTAAAAGCTAGAGGGCCCTGTCAAACACAATATCTTGTTCGACAATCAGGGAAACCTCCAAGGCCATCAATACTCCCATGAAATGGAAATCCCAGGCGTGAATCGTTGACCGAGTTGGGAACACCGTTAGTCCTTGTCCTTGCTCTCCTCCTGTGCCGCAGCCTCCTGCTCCAGTGCGGTCCGTAGTCTCTCTTCCTGTTTCTTCCAGTGGCTCCCCTCTTGGTAGTCGGAGCTGATTCCCAAAGCTTTCCGCAGGCGCTCGCTCTCCTTGATCTTCGCATCGGCCATCTCATGTACTTGGTGTTCCTTGAAAGGCCTCCGGGGGCCGCCACCCCTCCTCCCAGAGTTCATCTCGGCCAATAACTTCTTGCGCAATGCGTCGCACCGATCCTCAATCTCATCCTCGTCGACCCTGATTAGAAAATGTTAGTTTATTTGCCAATCTCAAAGTCCAAGCAGACGGCGCTTTTGCATTGTCCAAGCGATGGGAACTCACTCCTCTTCCTCAAGCTTGTCTCGCAGTTCAAACACTTTCACCTCTACTTCTCGCTTCCGGTCGTGTTCCAAGATGGCTTTATCCGGTTGGCGCTGCTTGTGCCTCAGACTATCTAGATCCTTGGGGTATGGAGCACCATAGTCGCGCGGCTTGATATGGGCAAGATTTCGTTGGACATAGCCTGAGGTTCCACTGCCTCGAGGCGTGGAGAGACCGACGTTGTCTGACATGACTGGTGTTGGATGACCCCGGTAGCTTCGGTGCGAATGTGGCAGGTTTCCTGTTGGAAGAGGCTTAGTCGGAGGATTGCTGGATAATGGGTTGCTCTCGCTAGTTCCTTGCCCAGCTCTACTGCAAGAATCCCAAGATGATGCACCTACGCAGCGTGGAGGGTCAGATAAGATTAGCGGCGGACAGATCTGGAAGGCGGTGGAGCCCACTTTCTCTGCGGGACTGGCAGAATGATGTACTTTTGGAACCAGCTCAAGCCTGCTCTCGATTTCCACCAGCATCCGGCAGGTACAGGTACATGGGCAAAGTACTGCCGTAGATCCATCGGCGGAAGGCACGACTGGACGTGGGGTTCGCCGTTGACGAAAAAAGCACATGCATGACAAATGACAGGCTGGAAACCAAGGATGAAAAGAGTCACACTAGACAGGTTGACTCACAGCTATAACTTCAGGTCCAGACATTGGCTCTGCTATTTATATTAGCCCTGTAAACTCTTGATTCCACCACCTCCTCCTTCACATTATCCAGCATCGCAGGCAGAAAAAGGAATATCACGATGCCCCACCTTCCAACCTTCGACGACGGCTCAAAGCAGGAACTTGTCTTTCCTCCCGTCACCAAAGATCATATTCAAAACTGCTCTTACAATGAGTGGTTTCCAAAGTACAGGAGCTCGTGTATAAAGTCGAGAATTATTCCTCTGTCGGCCGATTTCGTGTCTTATCTCAATGAAGACGGCATCGTCCTGGCCGACGACGAAGAGACCGGGGCGACAGATGAGGAAGAGGAATGGGCTTCTACTGCCGCCACTACTTCATCAAGAGTGCGCGAGATTGAATCAGACGATGAAGATGAAGAGGATGAACCAGACAGGCTTCCGCCCAACCAAAGATTCCCTGAAATACATCAACTGATCAAAGCAAAGATCACCGAGCTGGGTGGTGCCGTCGTACCCAAACTGAACTGGTCCTCTCCCAAGGACGCCAAATGGATCTCACCTCATCAAAACACACTCAAGTGTACATCACCAAATGACATTTACCTGCTGCTCAAGTCCTCATCGTTCATTTCTCATGACCTCCATCATGCTTTCGATGGATGCACTTCCACTCCCCCCACCCGTCCCTACGCTCCCGTCCTCGTCCTTCGCCCCTTTTTCAATCCTCATGTCGCCCTGGAGTTCCGCTGTTTTGTCAAACACCGGTCCCTCATCGCCATCACCCAACGTGATCTCAACTACTACTCTTTTCTCAACGGCCTCAGGAGCAATTTGACCCGCAAAATCAAAGCCTTCTTTGACAACACCCTCCGCTTCACGTTCCCGGATGCCAGCTTCGCTTTTGACGTCTATGTGCCCGAGAGTGCCTTTGAGGACGACGGCTTGGGCAAGGTGCGTCTCATTGACATCAACCCGTGGGCTCCACGCACCGATAGCCTACTCTTCGACTGGCAAGAGCTGCTTGAATGGGAGGTGGCCAACCCCCTATACGGTTCCCCTAGCACGGCAGATGCGGACGCAGAACTTCCATCTGAGAGCGGTGAAGACACCACTGCCACATCTGAGACCGATGATGACGGGGGCGCAGATGGTGGAGTAGTGAGAATAAGATTCAAGCCCGATGAAGAGCCCGAGTTCAGGATTATCGAGCAGGACGACCCTGCAGCTTTTAACTTTAGCTCATCGCAATATTCTGCACACAAACTTCCGAAAGAAGTGGTCGATGCCAGCCTTTCTGGTGAGGGTGGAATCCGGGAGTTTGCTCAGCGATGGAAGGAGATGACTGAGGGGAGGGCAGATGGTATCTGGGAGCAGGCTACCGGTCTCAACAAGTAGAATGTCTACATACTACCCAGGCCTGGCTTAGATATAACCAAATAAAGTAAAATTTCACCTGCAATACAACCCTCTCTATTGATAAGACTAGACAACGCCGTGTGTGTAATAACACAGTGATCAGAAAGTGTGTTGCCTGGTCACAAGTTTGCCATGGCTTTGCGCTGCCACAGAAGTCTTCAAACCAAACTCGAAACTCTTATTTGACAGAATGAAACTAGAATATGGATTGGTCGGGAGAAACAGCCCCAACAAGGCCCCTACAGGCTCATTAGGGGGGGAGATGCCACTGGCGAAGTGCTCCATGCACGTTGACAGTTGCTGGCAGCCCCGGCCGCACCTCTGAGGAGTGAACCAACCTCTGCAAAACTTGAAGGACCGCAACTCACTGCCTGAGGCAAAACAACAGCACGCGAATGTTGTTTGACGACGCGTAAATCACACGACAACATCCAGTCGTGTTCAGCTGCCCAAGTGACCTTCTTCTCACCCTCGCTGCCGCACCCAAAACATCGTCACAACATCCTCACGCACCACACCTTCACTTCGCAGCAACACATCCCATTCACTCGCGCTTCCCCTTGCCCATTCCCATTCACTGCTCCAAAAGCAAAGTCAAACAATAGAAAGACAAAAGAAACCCCCACTTACCCTTGCATTGTTCTGTCACTTACTCACAATGGCCAAAAACCTTGAGTCCGCTCGCAATGAGCGCAACGCGTCCGCTGAGAACGCAGATCATCCCAACCACTCCATCTCATCTGCCACCCCTCGAGATGGGCAGCCGTCAGGCACCAGCTCTAGCTTCTCGTCCAGCCTCTTCGTAGGCGATGGACAGTCTCGAGATATCAGCTCAACTAACGAAGATTCCAGCTCAGGCGGACCCCAGCCTAGCTCCTCGAACAACGCCGAGCCTGGCTCTGAAGAGCAAGTGGCTCCTGTCCCCCAGTCTCCCGTCATCTCTGACGATGTTGACACTAGGGATACCCCGGCGGCCAAGCCCAAACGCGGCCCGAATGCCGGTACCGTTGCGAAGCGTTTCTACCGCAACGGCAACGGCAACAATGTCAAGATTGACAGCCTCGTCGGCAAGAGGCTTGCCAGATTGCCTGCCCAGCGCAATCCGGAGCCGCGCGACCGCACCCACAAGCCCAACATGAAGAGGCGGGGCAACGTCGAGGCCATGCTTGTGCAGGTCGCCGGCGAAGAACCTCATCACGCCTGCAGGAACTGCCGCAAGGGCCACGGCCCTTGGGCAAGGTGCGTCATCATGGAGGGAAGCCTCTGCGGAAGCTGTGCCAACTGCTGGTACAATGCGTGCGGCTCTCGCTGCACATTCCACGGTAAGCCAACCCGATCGTCACTCCACGAGGCTGCTCAGCCCCTAGAGTAAGATGTTTCCGTGACCGGGCCCATACTAACAAGCCATCCGCCACCCAGACAGCAAAACAAAGTATGAGACAACTTCACATCATCAGCCCCCTCAAGCCACATCACCCAATGCGCTCCCTCTGGGCCCTTACCCTCCTCAACCCCCATTCCACCAAGCTCCTGGTCCCTCGGCCAGTCCCCTCATGCCCACCTACGCGCCTCCTCCCATCCCCGCATACCCCCCTCCTCCTCCTCCTATGCCCAGTTACCCTCCTCCTCCTCCCGTCCAAAGCTACCCCCCTCCTCATCCCATCCCTATGCAACAACCGGCCGGAGCACCAGGCCCTTACTCAGCCCCCATCGGGCGTCAACTCCTCTCCCGCTTCGCTCACTGGAACATCTCCGCCTCAACGGCCGAAGCAGTAGCACAGGCATGCACCCTCGACCCGCGCGAGCGCAGCCACGCCAGGGTCCAGGCCGCAGCCGAGGAGCTCGGGATGCTGATCGCTGATCACGCACAGCAGTTCGGCGACGAGCCGGACACCTACCCCTCCCCCGCGCCCGTGGCTCTCATGGCTCCGGATTAGGAATCCCAAGAGCATGAGTCAAACCCTGTGCCATATCCTGCGCAATATCCTGCACAATATCCTGCACAATATCCTGCACAGTATCCCGCACAATACCCTGCACAATACCCTGTGCCATACCCATTCTTCGGGCGATCCTGAGCTCCTCAACCCGCTTCTGCGCGAGGAAGAAAGGTCCTCATGACTTCAGCATACCCTTCGCAGACCATCACAGTGTGCCAAAAACCTGCATTCTTTTGTATCTCACCAAGTCAACAATTGTGTGCCATCATATATATCGGGCACGCCGTTCGTCATCATCATTACGGTTCGCTCACTGCTCTTTAACAGTAGTATTATCCAAAAGAAAACGAAAAAGAAAAAGAAGAAAAAAAGGTACCTTTCCTTCTCCCTACATCCCGGCCAGGAACACCACTAACTCCCAAAAAGGTCGGTTCTAAGAGTTTATTTTTCTTTCTTTTTCTCAGATCGCGTATCGCTGCGAGAAAGTCTGGCAATGTCACTGCACCGCTTCGTGTCACTCGCTTCGGCAGAGCAACACCGTCTTGTCCCAAGCCGGGCAAATTGCTGACTGCCACGACGACCGCACCACACTCATTTGCACCGGGCTGTCTTGCGCGCGCCCCTGCCTTTTTATCCCCTGTTTCCTCCTGCGTGTTCTTATTGGCTTTGCTGCCTGCTTTGTTGCTGCTTTTGTTTTCGCACTTTCACCCCACTGTCTTTTCCGGAAACCATCTGAAAGATCGCCGAGTGACGTCTGTCTGTCACCACCGCCAAAAAATCAGTATCTCTCACGTCGACAACTGAGAAGACAAAAAAAAAGTTCGCTTGTCGGTCAACCTGCATCACAATCAAACATAAGGAGAGAAAAAAAAGAAAGCAACCTGAAAGTTTAATGTTTCTCGGAAGAAACATTTGTGGGGCCCCCCGCCCCGTCTGAAGTCCAGATCCAGCTGGACAATAAGGACTTTCCACATTGTCATCAATGCGGGCAATGCATTCAAGGACCATTGAATGCAACATGAATCAGAATGGCTGAAACATCGCAAGTCGGAGGCCCCCCCTGGGAGACTCAGCTGATAGCATGCGCTTTGTGCTTACGGGGACTATGGAATGAACCAGTGAAGTGAAGGAAGAAAATGGAAGGAGAAAAGAGTGCGTTGGGGCTGAGATTTGATATCGAGATGAGCTGAACGTGCGCGGGTCAGCCGCAAGGAATGATCGATACGGAGACGAATGTTTGTGTGTGTCTGAATGTGTTAGTATGTTTCTCAGGTGGGCGTATGGAAGAGTTCAGTCGCTTAGTTTACCTACTTGTTGGCGGCGCATGTGCAGCCTGCGGACAGTCGTTCGCTTGCACAGCCGGGGCAACGACCAGTTGAATCAAATCAGTACCCTTGTGTTGTTACTTGCTTCTTTCGCCCCCAACTACCATGCATGACACAGTATCCAGTAGACCTGCAGAACAGTGGGAATGATGAATTGCGACACTGGTCCCCAGTAGACACAAATCGAGAGGAAACACAGAGTGCATGTAGCTCACAAGGGTGTTGCTCTTCTGCCCATCCAAACACATGCCACGATGTCAAGAGTCAAGTTTAGAAATAGCTGTCCTAGCCACGGTCTTCATTCAACTATACATAAAACTCTTCCAACTCTAAACCATCGTTGCAACTCCCCTCCGGCAGCTCCATTCATCCCGAGCCAAGCAGAAGGTGTATTTGAAAAAGCCAGGAAAATAAAGAAAAATTGAGAAATTTTGGGGGAAAATAGACAGAGAAAGAAGAGTAGAAAACAGGAGGGGAACTGAGAAAAAAAAGGAAAGTAATAAAAAAACACCGAAACGCGCAAGATGGGAAGTGTTTCGTAATTAAACAAAATAGATAACCTCCGCTCATCGCCCATATGTGACAGATGCAAAGTTTTCCTCTTCTGTTTCTCTTCCCTTTCTTCTCATAGCCATCACTGTTGCTTCATTCCGCACAGCCCAAATGCTCCAAATCATCGGTCGCGTCTAGCAAGGCAGTTTGCTCTAGACTGGGTGCAGGCTGCCAGTTACGAGCGCCATTGGGGGGGCAACATTCGTTTCTAGGCCCACTAGAATACCACGGAGTTTCCGATAGTATCGTCTTCATATATTTGATAAAAGGGAGGAGGGGATAATGAAAATCATGAGCCATACGACGTGGCCCACCTGTTCTTCGTTATTATTAAAAGATTCGAGGGGTATTCGTGTTGCTGTATAAGAAAAGTCGTTTAGATCAAACCGCACAGACGGAGGTTTTCTTGGATGATGATATCTAGATATTGTGTCAGTCTGACTTGTGCAAGTTCGAGCTAGAGGATATGATAAACTTACCGTTGACGGCGGCCATGACGAATCGAATCTGGGTCGTATCAGTGGCGCAGGTGAAATGAGTGTAAATCTGCTTGGTCTCATGTTGATTCAGGCTAACGAATCGGTTGAGAATGTAGTCGCAGGCAGCAGCATAATCATCACCGCCCTCGTAGTCGGGGAAGTAGTTCTTCATGGGGCTGACAGGCAACTTCTCCTTGAATCGATCGATCTTGTTGAGGAACAAAATGATGGAGGTCTTGATGAACCATCTCGAGTTGCAGATGGAGTCGAACAGAGTCAGAGCCTCCTGCATACGGTTGACGGTCTCATCTTCGAAAAGCAGCTGATCGTACTCGGAGATGGCGACAAGGAAGAGAATGGTGGTGACGTTCTCGAAGCAGTGAATCCACTTCTTACGTTCGGAACGCTGGCCACCCACATCGAACATCCGGTAGGTAAGATCTCCGATGATGAAAGTTGTTTCAGTGATACCAGTAGTCTTGACACGGGAGCGAAGGACATCCTGGTCATTAGGCATATAATCGGGAGCAGCAATGCGAGCGATGTTATCGAAGTAGCTAAACACGTACCTGGTTAGCGAAAAGAAAAAAATCACCGCGTGGTCGCGTCTTGGTGAAACTTACTATCTTGCTGAGTCGTTGAGCTGGTATTCTCGGGATCGCTTGAAACACTCTTGTACGCCACGGTCCTTCCACAGAGCCTCGATGGCGCTTCCAACCTCAGGGGGGAGGACGTCGCCCTCGATTTGGGCGGGTTGCATGAAGATGGTCTGGACATGGTATTCCATGCGCTGGTCCTCAAGGGGTAGCTCGAGAGACTCCATGGCCTCGAGAATGACACGCATGGACTGGACTGTGTTGCTGAAGATGATTTCCTTGAAGGATTCGCGCTCATCGCGAGAGTAGCCACCCTCGTGGATAAGCTTCATCTGCTTCAGGATAGTCGACTTGCCGGATTCACCAGCACCTAGAGTAAGGGGTTAGACGCGACACTCATCAGAAAGAGCATCGCAATTGATGCCATCGGTCGATTAATCGACCTAGATGGCATACAAATGCGAGCGATACGTGAATAGAGACATACCAAGAAGAAGCATCTTGATCTCGTTGCGTTGCATCATCTTATCCCTCTTGAGCTGGTTCTCAATCTCCTCGTTGCGGGCCTTGCCCTCCTTCTCCTCGGTACTCATTCCACAACCCATCTTGACGGTGTGGTGGCCTTCGCCGCGTGTGAATTAAGTGTATGGTTCTATGTCGTTCGATCGTACAACCTGGAGTTGGTCAAATGTCGCAGATCGGGACGTATCTGACCGCGGACAAGGCTACTTGTTAGTCCAAGGGGAAGAAAGTCGCGAGAAGCAGGTGAGGAGCGGCGCTGAACAAAAGGAAATGGGACAACGTTGGGGAGGTAGATGATGAAAAGGGAGAGATGGTGCGTTTGGGAAAGGTCTTGATCGGCTGGTCGTCTGGGCGGCAGGATGGAACAAATCCATGCGAGTTAAATGAATTGGGGGGGGATCTGAACCCCTGGGAGAGCACCCAGTGTCGCTTACGCAGGTGGAATCGAAGCGACAGCCTAGCAAGACGATGGACGATGAAGAAAACGATCAGAACTCACCTCGATGCTGATGGCGACAATTGCGGATGGACACTGCCAATTGAAGTGCGGCAATGAAGGATGGAACTAGAGGTGAGATAGAGAATGTGGGAAGGTTGCCGATGAAGGGAGGAGAGAAGGTAAGGTAGGTTGGCCAGGCGTGGAAATGAATGCTACGACAGGATCGGGGACGCCAGGGAGAGCGAAAAGAGAGAGGGCTGGGCAGTGGCCGGGGTTGGCCTGGCCCAAGGTGGACAGTGCAGCATTATTTGCTACCCAGTTAGCGCCTTAGTTTCAACGCAGGTGATGGGTGCGGAGGCGCGGGAAATGGCACTGCGACAGGGGCCTCTGTGCTACCACAGGTCCAGTTCCACTGCACAGTGCGGGTGCCTGCCTTCTGCCGGCCCAGTACGTGCCTTCCACTCTCACCCAAGCCCGGTATGCGCAGCTTGCATTTGCTGACAGGCTGCCTTAGTACTGGCTTACTGGCCCGTCTTAGGGGACTGCACCACCTGCAGTCGCCCCCCTCCCCCCTAAGCAGCCCACCCCCCGGACCTGTGCCTTCAAGCAGGGCAGGATCGATTCCTCGCATCATGAAGGGGCGACCAACGTTACGGAGTGTTCCCAAAAACAGAAACCCAGCAAAAATTACTCATCACAGGATGCGACGCACCCATTTCGCGCTGATGCGCCCATATTTGCCTGGCCTTGCATGAACAAGCACAGCCAACAATGGACGCCTCGCAGCTCCCAAAAATCGCTGCGCGGACTGGCCTTAGGTCGAACTATTTGCTCAGACCGTCCTTGGTACCGAGGCGGAAGTCAGGTACGGCGATCGTCTGAACCAACGCTGTCGCAAATCTCCGACACACGGTCCTACCTATTCCATCCTAAAGACAGGTACCCAAGAAGACGGTGCCTCTCCTGGCCACTAGGTGGCTCTTTAGTACCCCAAGGACCCTCCGAACATTTCCCAATGGAGATCCATGGCCCCTCCCCTTTCCCCTGCCCCTTTACAAAGTAGGTAGGCTCTAACCCACAGCAG